GGAATTCAATCTAACAAGTTGTGCGTTCCAAGAACTCGAGTTTGTTCCTCGCAGTAAGTTTTACTTTGTTGGTGGTGTTCTATTGCCCAACTAAGGCGCGCGCTGCTCGTGCCTCTGGCCGCTATGGCCGCCCTGGCCTGAGGTGACAGCGTCAGCCAAGGTGGCAGTCGCCGGCACGCGGAGAGTAGAAGGGTGAACGACACGCTACACACCAGTCGCCTGCCGGCTGCTGCGTCTTGTGTCTCCTTCTGCTCCCCTCTCTCGCTCGCTCTCGCTCTCCCCGCTCGCGCCACTCCCGGCCGCGTGGCCCTACGGACCGTTACGCCGTGTGGACTGTACCGGTCAGCCCGACGAACGGTCTGGCGGCGGCGTGGCAGGGCAGGCGGGGCGAGGCGGGGCGGCGGCTCCTCCCTGCTCTGAGCGCGGCAGGGCCGGTAGCAGGGCACGACGTCCAGGAGCAGGGCGGTGAAGTCCAACTGAAGACGAGAGGACGCAGCTCCATGCCTCTAACAAGGAGCTTCACCGCCGAACCGACCCGACAGGCTGTCTAAGCGACGGAAAAAAGTGGCCCTCCAATACAAAACACCACCCATCACTTTAGATTTTTCAATTTACCAACTTAGCACGGATTTACTCCTCAGAAACGCGATAAACTTACTTTCACATATCATGAATTTATTTTGCTGATAGTGACGCCAACTAAAAATGTCTTCATAATTTGGAAAAATACATTTAAAGCATTATCAGCAAAATATGAAGTGATATGGGTGGTGATATCTTGTTTCTTGGAGACTCACCTTAACACATAAGTATACAACATACACAGCTGCGGGCAGGGAAGATCCACGACATCAACCGGAAGCAAACTCGTAAAAGTGCTTTGTGAGGTGACGGGCACTTCTTTGCACCAATCATAAAAAAGCGACAGTTTGAACGCAAGACGTTGGGTTGGACTGTGGACACTGTTTGTAAGCGCACGATCCCGCAACACACTCTCCTGCAAATTGACTGTGAACAATAGTTATACACCAGGAGGAAATTTTCATCAGTTGGCCGTTAGTTTCTTTCAAAATGACTGTGGTTATTATGTTACAATCATTCGACGCGAAAATCGGAAGACTTCAATGTCATATTGGCCTAATATCGTTTTGATATCACTGTTTCTTACTCAAATATTTCCGATTTTCGAATCGATTTTAACATAGTCTTATAATCGACCATGTTTCTGATCTCTGATATCATTTTGATATCGATTCAACATAGCATCGATTTTGATTCGATATTGCACCGATTTCGATTTCTCACTGGGCGCTCGGCTCGCGCCCAGCGCTGCACAGACACGCATAAACACAGAACCGCCCGGCTGCACCCCCCGCCCCAGCGCAGCAGCGGCCGCCGTGCTCGAGCCAAATCTAACTCCCCCGATACGATCGCATTCCTGAATGCACAACGAAGTGTACCGCGCTGCGTGGGGCAGGGCGTGGCGGGGCGGGGCACTCACAGCACTCGAATGTCGAATGCGAAGGTTACTTGGTGAAAATTTCTCCCGCCCTTGGCTGCGGCACAGTACTGCACCGAGAAAACTGAAAAGTTGTATGGTTCTTTCAGGGATAAACAAAAAATATGGTTGAGCGAACGGTCCGTTAGTGGTGAAAACCGTATTCTTGGTTGGTACACCTGTGCTGGCGTTGACTCAACCATATTTTATGGTTTTCCGTTGTCCCTGCAGTAACCAAACGCTGGTTGCTTCAACTTTTCATTTTTGAGGGGCCTCCGCCCTGGCCTCCGCCCGCCCGGTCTGCCGCCTGTGGACGACAGGGTAGGCCACCAGCCGAAACGACGTGCCCGTTTCTGGCCTACCCACCAGGCGCTCTCCACCGATGAAGTGAAAAGCTTTCAATTATTCTTTGCCTGTTAAACTCTCTGTAGTCACATGCCGTAAAAGAGTATTACAGCTCAAATCCCTGATTATAACCTGAATATAATCAGATTACATTCTTGTTTGGAAACCCCGCCAACCTTCTACGACCTTCCGCTGGATATTTCTGAAGCGGCCGTTAAGCGCGACTTCCGACCGCTAATCGAGACAAATTAACGCGGTTTGAGTTCGGGTCCCCTTCGGGTCGAGCGGTGGCCGGCGGGGCTGCAGATGCACGCGGCGGTCCCACCCGATCAGCCGAGGCGCCGCCGACACAGAATGCAGCGCAGAGATTTCTATCGAGCCGCGAGAGAAAGGGGAAAAATAAAAGGAAGGGGGCGAGCAGAGAGCCTTCAGTGTAATTATCCTCTGCGAGGACCGGACGGTTTGTCAGAGTCTTAAACGGTCATCAGTGACAGTATCAGGGATGAAGATGATCTCGCGACCTACAGTTACTGCAACCTTGCGAAAAGGTGCGGGAACGGGGACTCGAAAATATCAGCACGTCAGAGGCCAGGCCATCTCCTTCCAGAGCCGTACAACACGTACTCCACCTCATGCAGAAGAGGGGCAGCGCAGTGACGGGCACCCGCAGCTTAGAGTTGCCCGCCGAGCTTTTGCGGGTCACAGTCGCGACCTGGTGACCACCCACAGGCGATGTCTCGCTGCGCCGCGCCGGCCACGCCTAGTTACGCCCCGCATGGCGCGCACCGCGCGGAGCAAACGAGACACATTGCAGAGGACGGGGCGGGCGGGCGGCAGCGGGCGGGCGAGAGGAAAAGACGATCAAATTGAGGCAACAACAGTAAGAATGCTATCAGATGGGGAGAGGGACACGCGCCTAACGGAGTGGTCCGCCCCGCCCCGCCCCGCCAGGCCGCGCCCGCCACGCCCCGTCGCATGTCTGGCCCCGAGGGGACTAAAAGTCAAAGAAGACGCCGCCGGGCCCGCGCCGGCGCTCACGCCACGGCCGCTCCCGCTCGGACGCCATGCAGTCCCGTTCACGACGATCCACGATCCATACTCCCTGCCCCCCTCTTTCCTCCACGACGTACCCCCCCCCCCTCCTCTGCGAGGACCGGACGGTTTGTCAGAGTCTTAAACGGTCATCAGTGACAGTATCAGGGATGAAGATGATCTCGCGACCTACAGTTACTGCAACCTTGCGAAAAGGTGCGGGAACGGGGACTCGAAAATATCAGCACGTCAGAGGCCAGGCCATCTCCTTCCAGAGCCGTACAACACGTACTCCACCTCATGCAGAAGAGGGGCAGCGCAGTGACGGGCACCCGCAGCTTAGAGTTGCCCGCCGAGCTTTTGCGGGTCACAGTCGCGACCTGGTGACCACCCACAGGCGATG